CGGTCGTTAGGCAGAGTTGGAGTTGGTTCTGCTGTATATCTCTGGTCTGACTTGTAGTTTGCCTAAGGTACTGTTGAATTAATGGGTTTTGTTAATTCTGTATGGTTGTCTGCTTGAGAAATCCATTGTGTGCATGTTCGATACGAGATAATTATATCTTAACTAGGATGACTCAAGAAATTTATTTCTACGATTCGCACGTGCACGTTTACTAGTATGTCCAACAGTTCAAGATTAATCTAGTCAAGTCAAAGTAGAAATCTGGTATAGAAAGTTTGCTTGGGGTACAACACAACAAGCCCCGAAGAAAGGAAAAGAGCATCTTGCAAACAGATAAAAGGAGCAACGCGACGCTAGCTCACCGGGGGTGGGGCCGTGGGGGGCAAAACATCGAGCGACGCTCTGAAGCGCGTCCACAGTGGCCTCAAGCGTGTGGGGGATTTGATTATTTGCCACCACTTTTTTTGGACTTTGGTAATTTACCACCTTTTACTTTGTAATTGATCTGAAGACACTTTTTTGTTTGGACTTTGATCTTTTGCCACTTTTCAACACAAAAACAAATTTTGAAAATAATAGACAACATAAGTGAAGAAAATAAAGGATTAGTATGCCCTTGTACATTGTTTGACCCAAACATAATACAGGGGAGGGATGAACTCGTGCTGCACTCTCTCCTGCACCTTCCTGCTGCTCCTCGCCGGGCAAGATCTTACAAGCAGCAGCGGCGGCGCACAAGCAGCGGCTCAAGCAGCCCCCGCAGCGGCAGCACAAGCAGCAGCGGGAGCAGTGCACTCGGCGGCCGGCGGCCAAGCCCGGGCCCGAGTCGCGTAACCCTAGGGGACGGGAGGGAGGGGGCGAGAGAGAGAGGGCAACACCTTCCTGGGCTGGATCCGGCCGCCGGCGTGGAGGACCACCAAGTGCAAGTCGTCGCCGCCGTCGAGAAGCCCCGACCGCAACTCGCCGTCGCTGTCGTCTTCGCGAGTTCTTGCGGGCGAGAGGAAGGGGAACGACCAGAGATCGAGACCTCCCAGTTCGTGGTCAATCCAGGGAAAAGGGTATGTTGGACATTTGTTGCAGGATCCATCTCACAGAGGGCAAAATAGCAAAGTTCAATGTAAAAGATGGCAATGGATCAATTACAATCTAAAGGGTGGCAAATTGTTAAAGCCCAAAGAAAGTTGTGGCAAAAAATCAAAAAGCCCCAAGCGTGTCCAGGCCCCGCTGGTTTTAGTTTGGTGTTTATGTTTGCTTTTTAGCTAGGTTGTAGCTCATCGAGATTGAAATGTGCAATCGCGGCTGTCTACAGCCCAGGTTTGCACATTTCCGGTTTTGCAATTCTAGGCTTAGAATGTCAAATTGGCTGGCCTGCACATTATGAAGCATGAAATTGCATTCAATTTTTCGTCGTGCAATTTAGTAGTTTGCACATTTTCAAACCCGACACTGCACGGGTTGCTACTTTTTGGTCGTCGAACTACACAAGGGCACCCAAGCTCTAGGATTTTTCATGCCTCCCGCCGGCGGCGCTGCCGATCTACCTCGTCTCTTGTGGTCTTAGGACCATGGAGCAAGGTGGATTCCGGCCCCTTGTACCACGGAGGCGTGGTGGATCTACCTCGTCTCCTCTGGTCTTAGGACCATGGAGGCACGGTAGACCTCCCGCTGGCGCCGCCGCCGATCTACCTTGTCACACACGCTTGTATGTGTTCCTCCAGGTGCTTGTTGCAGTGTGTTGTAACTGTAATTTAGTACACATATTCGCTGTCACTAGTAACCTCTAGCACTAATTAATTTACTTCATCACATTCAGGAAGTACTGGTTTTGATCACAAAAAGTACCCACTGACCAACTCACTTACACAGTATGAAGTCAGCATGGCCAGACGAACATGATAATCCTATTATTATTCATAACGCGGGCTAACCCCTTGCACACCCCCCTTCGTTAGTTTCGTCTAATGGACCTTAGCTGCTCTGAATCCTGCTGTTGCTCTTCCCACTGAAGATCTGGTTGAGGATCGCCCCCAGCCTGACGCCTCCCTGGGCAATCCTCTTCTCAACGATCGGCAGCGCTTTGAAGAAGTACTCATCTGCATGCATAGGCAGTTTAATCCCAAGACGACTGGTCGACCACACTTCTTCCATACAAATCACAAATTGTTCATCACTTGTTACCTTCCAAGTCGGATCCTTGCTCAGCGCCCACGTACGCGGGGCACGACAGCTCCGCGCTCTCCTCGGCATATCTGCAAACATTAGCTTCCATCCGTCAGCTTCTGAAGATTCAGAGCTGCTGCTCAAATTAGATTCAGGCAGATTGCTATGATGAGCTTAGTTACTTGTCAGCACAAGTCGTCGTTCGAGTATAGCACGCCGCCCACTGGTTCTCTTCTTTACACCACTCGTTCTGTACGAGAAAAGAAAAAAGAAACTCAAAAACTCAATCAAAGCTCAAGGTTGCGTAAAGATGAAGCCTCAAGTGATTGATAAGCTTACGGTAAGGTTGAGCTTGATGGCGTTGATCATGGTGCTCAGGTCGTCCTTGTAGAACCTGTTGAGGGCCGTTTCGATGACGTTCACATCCCACACCTGAACCATGGTAGGTTAGACAGGGGAACAACAGAGAAGACCAGTGCATGGCTCCAACTGAGCGCTGGTTGATTGAGCTGCGGAGCGGTGGCGTACGTACCTTGTGAAGGTTGGTCTTGGTCGTGTTGTACCAGTGGACGACGATGGTGTTGCCGCCGAGGTCGGCGATGCGAGCGCAGTGCATGGGCTGGTGGATGTCGCCCAGGAAGTGCGACAGGAACAGCAGGCTCTCCGTCCGGTTATCTGATTAGCCATACCATACTGTCAGGAAACTAAGTTGTTGTGTGCTCTATCAGCACATACGTATAATCCGACGATGGTTACATACATGGGCTCGACGGGTCTTGGAGCGCGGCGGTGTAGTTGTTGATGCCTCCGACGACGCACATGTCCTTCTCCCCTTTGGTGCCGTGGCAGTCCCCTGCTCAGTTCAGATAAAAAGGGTATATCAGTGGCGCGTCCCGTTCAACAAATTAGCACGTCAGGCGCACACTCTTGAGCTCTGGAGCCGGTGGTCAAAGGCCGCGAAACCAGATTCGGTTTTGCAGTTTGACTAAGAAGTACTCCCTCCGTAAATAGTGATCTAAATGCTTTTATATTTCTTTATGGAATGAGTACTGGTGCTAACTATTTCAAAATTGACACTCAACTAATTCAGTTCATACAAATGAGACTCGATTCGTGCGGGTATAAAACATTTACAGAAATTTTCTTCAAACAAGTATGAATGTGGACCAAGAAAAATGACCAGTACTGCTTGCGAGTCGATCAAGAACTAGTATGTAGGAGTTACTTGCAAGATCCGGATCAATGTCAACACAAGCTTATGGGAGTGGATGGGAAAGGGTTCAGACTTCAGAGTACCTATGTAGGACAGTATATAGGGAGGAGAGGAGCGAGCACATACTGGCGTAGCTGAACTTGCAGTCACCGGGGGTGTCGGCGAAGTGCAGGGAGCTGGACCACGGCATTTGGCGCCGCACGGCGTCCGGCCACGAGCACGCCGCCGCGAGCTCGCCGTTGGCCCACTCCGGCAGGAGCCCCTTCACCGCCGCCGACGCCTCGCTCGTCAGGAAACCCTGCACGCGGAATCGATCTCAGCCTCGGCATTATGCAGTTTACCCCAAAAAAGATCAAATAGGACTGACCATTGACCACTAGAGCCGGTCGGGTGGTCGGCGTACGTACCTCGGCGATCTTGCAGGTCATGAAGTGGCCCTCCTCGCCCCACGCCCGCGCCGCCGGGGCCCTCGCCGCCGCGGCGGCGGCCAGGAGGACGTGAAGCAGCAGGAGGAACCCCATCCCTTTCCCTAGCTTGGCTCCCCCTCTCTTTGCGTGTTGCAGCTGCGGTACTGTGCGCGCTGCCGTTTGCTTGCTGTGCACTCATGCCTGTGCCGCACACCTAGTCGTTTATACAGCCGCCCACGGTCCATCGTGATCCGCGGTGGAATTGTTAAACAGCCGGACTGCCGGAGGAGATTGTTAACTGGCTGGAGCACGTGAAGCTTGCGAGCTCGATCGTCGCTCGGGGCACGATGACTGCAGTTTACTGTGGTTCGCGTGAACGCACGTGCAGTGCGCGTGTTGGTGTCCAATAGTAGTACTGCTACCAACGAGCACTCTGCTCTGATCTGATCTATAATAAGTACAGAGCATGCGTGCACGCGGGCCTCTATCGAATATCTTAAACAAGAGATTCGAGGATAAGGTCTTAAAAGCCATGCACTGTCGCTTTGCACTCGACTGCAGTTTTGGATCGGGGGTGCCCTTATTGCCCAGTTGCACGTCGAATTTGGTTGCAGAGTTGAGCGATAGTGGGCAGTAAACAAATAGGCAGGTGCAGATCTCGACATGGTGTCCAACTTCAGCATTCAGCAAAGAGAACCAACTTGTGGTTAAATGGCACGAGGGCAGTGATACTGTCAGTCCATCCGGGATTAAATGCAGATTTGGGGCTTATAAAAGTGGAATACTATTTCTGTGGGAGACCATGTTTTCATCGAGCGAGGTGCCTGTGATGACCTCATTAATCTAGGACACAACTGCTCGGTTTCTTAGAGATGCTTATAGAGATAGGGCGTGTGTTCGTACGTTCATAGAGATGAATATATGTACTGTGTTTCTGAAGGAAAAAAAACTAAACATGCTCCCATCCCAAATTTTTTCGCCCAAATCCGTACCCGCACCCGAGGTTTCATATCTTTCCCATAACCGTACCCGACCGTGGACGGGGAGGAGAAAACCAGTTGCATCTGCGACTTCGGTTCCGGAGGTAAACCCAGGTCTTCCTCATCCATCCTCCCAAGTCAAAGCGGGGGGACTACGGAGTACATATCCCGGCCCCGTGTCGCCCCCCCCCCCCGCGGGCGACCTGG